TTATTTTCGATATTTGACATTTAAATAAAAAATAAAAAACTCATATTTAATGGTTAGAATTGAATTGTAGTTAAATAAAAATAAAATAATTAATATGCATATACTCAAGATTATACTATGACTTACCTCATCATATTTTCGTTGTTTGTTTTTATTTTTTAGTATGTTCGATTTATTATGTAAATATTTATATTATGATATTTACATTAAACATTTGTGAGAAATACTTCTTACATGTTATTTTTGAAGCCATTCTAATACTATGATAATTTTTGTAATCAATCATTCAATTTTATTATATGTAAATATATTTGTAATATTTCTATAAGAAAAAATTATACTCAAATAACTTACACAACACGCAACGCTATTTACGCTACGTAGTATAAAGTCCAAAGTGCAACGCATTTGCGCTGTACGCATTTTAAATCATTAATTCATTATGTCTTTCAAACACTGAGTTTTAGCTTTTTGGCATTAGATCTGATCATTAAGTCGATATATGTATACTTTCATTATTGTATGTCGTTTAAAAAAAAAAATAATAATATAAACAAAAATATATGTTACTAATTAATAACTAATTGTTCAAATGTCTAACACGTGAACTGTGTATGGGTCAGCTTGTGTCAATAATGCTGGTAAGAATAAATCCATATTTGCTTTTATATTGTCATTATATTTATTGGTTGAAATGGGTGATTATATATGATTATATACGTCAATGTCAATATTTAATAGTAGTATGATAATTCATTTGGCTGATGCATACAATAAATAAATAAACTGCTCTTAAATCAAGAATAGATGGAAATCTAATTGTTACATTAATGGTGCATGTTTGCATTATTCAAAGATATTATTATTATTATTATTATTATTATTATTATTATTATTATTATTATTATTATTATTATTATTATTATTATTATTATTATTATTATTATTATTATTATTTTGGCAGAATGTGAAAAAACAAATTATATAATTTAGTACAAAATAAATGTGGTTATAGAATTATAGTGTTGATTAATTGGCTTGTTTATTGATGTGGTTACATATAATGTTTTAGGAAAAAATGTCCGAATGTGCTGTTTTTTTTTTTTTTCAATTAATATTATTATTGATTTAATCGTATATATACATCTTTTTTTATTTAATAAAATGTTTTCTGAAAAAAAAAAACACATTTTCTAACTCCTATGTTTGAATAGCCATAATTATACTCCAATAAAAATACGTTTAGCATATTGTTTTACGAGAAATACTATAGATACATAATACTATACACAGAGGTGTATATAACACTCACATTAAATGAGTCCTACCAACATTAAAAATCAAGTGAACTTCACTCCATGCGAGAGTTATGTACACCTCTGTGTACATTTATTATGTACTTGTATTATTTGTGCATGGTCTCATTTTTATATATTAATGACTTGTATAGATACATTTTTTGGTTGGTTGTCTGTATTTATGTACCTGGCCATCAGTTTTGCTATGGAGCCACCGGATGGCTCGGCTTATGAAGCAATTTGCACTTATTTACCAATAGTGTATTGATACGTATTCTACAATAAATACAATTTAGACATGTGTCAACATATTAAGCGATGGATGACTCCATAAGAAAACAATCCGACATCTGTCAAATAATGCTGGTTCTCTGAATAGAGTTTATTAAGGACAAAATTGATGAGTTTAACTGTTTTAAGTAGCTGATTTGAATTTTTCTGTAGAAATATAAAAAATGAAATTAATTGAAATATTTTGTTCCTTCACAAATTTTTATCTGAACAAAGTTCTTAATATTGGGTAATGATCAACAGGCCACAAAAAAGTCAAAATCAACATACTTATTAAGGCCCATAGAACCTAATCTAGCCCAAATGAATTAAGTTATTAAGGCCCATGAACATAATCGAGCCCTAATATGGAAAGAAACCCATAGTTCGCGATCTTTCATGAAGCACGTGATGATGAGCTAGCAAGCCATTATCTGCAAGACTACACTTGGGCATTTTAAAATAGAGGTCAGTACCTTTTTTTTGACCATTTTGAATAAAGATCTCATTCGTCCACTCTTTATAAGCTTGTTAGATTTTTTATTTATTTTTTAAAATAAAATATTTTTAGATTGTGAATAAATATAATAATAATGTGATAAAAAGAATATAATTATGAAAATAAATGATTGATAGTTGCCACTTGCTCTTTGGTCTGAGAAATGCTACGATCCCGTTACGGTACTATCTTTTTAGATATTTTAACTGTTGGATAAACATTCAAAAGAGATGGTACCGTAACGGCTATAGCATTTCCTTAAGTATTATTTATGTCACGAGGATGCAACTTTTTTTTTACTACTATCGTTAATAAAAATTAACATTGTTTGTATATAGTTCTATATCTTGAAAATATATTATTTTGATAAAATGTGTACAAATAAATTTAAATAGGTTTATAATTTGATATTCAAGTTGTATCAGAATATAACTTTAGATAAATATATCTATATTAAATCACTATAAATTAGTCAAAATATTGATTTTGTTTGGCGATCAGCGGATATCGGATAGCGGATTGTATTAGCAGATAGCGAATTATATTAGCTGATTTGACCAGCGGATTGCATTAGCAGTTTTTAAATAAGTGTTTGGTAAATACCTGAAAGCTCATAGTTGTTTGACATTACAAAATGGCCAATAAGGACATTTTATTATTTAGGGTGTATTTTTTTAATAATAATATAACAAAACATTTAATATTCTTTAGTTGGTAATTTATAAATATATATATATATTTTAAAATTTACTACCACTTGATGAAGAAGTTATGAGTTTTACATTTTTCTAGATAAATTAGTCATATGGATGACATATTATTATTTATTAACACCATAAACCAATGTAGATTGTAAAATAAATAATACAAATTAAAATGTTCCAAGTAAATAATTTTTGTGAATCCTCTATCTCCAAAACGCTGCTCTAACGAGTTTTTTCTAAATTAGAGTTTTGGACCCAAAAAATTTATCAAATAATCTATTTACCAAACAAGTTCAATAACGAATTTGACGGGTCAAACTTCTCAACTAAATTCAATTCGCTAATTTATCTCCAATCCGCTATCTTGGGCCATTATAAGAAAACAAAAAATTGGACTAATCAAATCTTCAACTCAACAAGTCGGGACTAGCTATCAAGCATGCGAAAGCTCTCAAATACACAACCCATTCCCACAATGACAGCACGTGCCTTGCGGGGCCAGGCCCGAACCACTCACCGGGCTTCTTCATAATCAATCAATAAACACAAACAATGTCTACAAGTCCACACAACAATTCTTAACCAAGTTGTTGAAAAACCAAACAAAATTCTTCACAATCTTGATCTCAAATGTGAAAAACACTAACAGAAAACAATGGAAACAAATTCAGCCTTCTTCATTTTCTTCACAATTGGGTCGATAAATTGCAAAACATCACAAATTAAACAAAACCACGACATTACACGAGCAGAAGGAACGAGTCCCAAACAGCAGCAGCCGCGAAAAGGGCTGGAATCAAGGCCCGGGCTCGGAAAGAAGACACGAGGCTCGAGGGAGACCCGTTTCTCGAGGGTGAAGCCGAGGGGGGAGGTGGGGGATTCTCGACATGTACAGCGAGCTTCATGCCCCCGAAACAGTATCCCACGCTGCTTATGAAATAGTAATTTCGAGTCTGGTTGAGTGCCACCACATCCCTCCCGGCCCCACCCGTGAAGTTATGGATCGGCCGGTCGAGGGTGCAGTTATCGTACGTGGTCTTGTTCACCTCGAGCACTTGGTATTGGTTCCTGTCGTATACAAAGACTGCGATAAAAAAATAAAAAAAAAAAAAG